TGCTTAAGCCAAAATTAAAATAAGTTTTATATTTCCTAAGGGGATATACTGATAGCTGGTGGGCCAACTAATATAACTGCCCACAGCAGTTAGATGCCAACTTAATTTTAACACTTCTTCATGGTATAAAATCCACACAGAGAAAAATACATTTGGCTGAAGATAATTCAATTTATAAATTTTCCAATAGGCATTAAAACTATTATTTTCCTGACAAACAGACCTACTATAGAGATCACAACTGAGAAAACCATAAAGTACTTTTAAAATGATACTCTAGAGGAAACTATTTTCTCCTTAAAAAGACAAAACAAAAGAAAACAAAACAAAAATGCAAACCATACATCCATAAACACTTCCTTCCATTTCTCACTCCTATCCACCAATCACCCCCAATACTTCTTAACAATGAAATAAAACATTAACAGAAGTTTTTTGAAGTTGTTAGTTTGTAACTTTTACAAAGCCACCATTTATCATTAATGTAACATTATTTTAATGTATCTATTAATTATAGTTAGTGAGTGCTTTCCTAGTGTAGTGCTTTAACAGTTTTATTTTAGCAGTATCTGAAGAATTTACTCTTCTTTGATAGCTCTTTAAAAGTAAGGAACACTCTGTATTATCTACTATCTACTAGTCATTCAATAAGCATTTGTTATTCTTTTTTGTTCATTTTTTTGCCAGTCCTGAAGCTTGAACTCAGGGCCTGGGCGCTGTCACTGAGCTTCTTCTGCTCAAAGATAGCAAGCACTCTACCACTTGAGCCACAGTGCCACTTCCAGCTCTGTTTATGTGGTACTTACTGAGGAATCAAAACCAGGGCTTCATGCCTGCTAAGCAAGCACTCTACCACTAAGCCACATTCCCAGCCCTGCATTTGTTATTCTTAATTCAATTAACCCAACAGAAATATATAAAACAAGATAAACCTAAGACTACAGTTAATCTTTACTACTGTAATGTATTTCACATGTAACATCTCTTAAAATTCGCATTAACCTAAAAACTTAGTGGTAGAGTGCTTGTCTAGTGTGCATGAAGCCCAGGGTTCAATTCCTAGGTACTACATAAACAGAAAAAGCCAGAAGTGGCATTGTGGCTCCAGTGATAGAGGGTTAGCCCTGAGCAAAAAGAAGCCCAGGGACAGTGCCTAGGTACTGAGATCAAGCCCCAGGACTGACCACAAAACACACAGACACACAGACACACAGACACACAGACACACAGACACACACACACACACACACATCAAGAACATTTTTCTCATGCTATTAGATAAACAAGATAGTGTGAGATGTTGATCACCAGTTACTATAATTACATAAAGATGTGAAGGGAATACCCCTTATAGTTGGCTCCCCCCTCAAATTAGCCTGTTAAGAGCTGGAACTGTATTTTATTCATCTTTCTTTCCTGTACTCCCAGGGCCTCAACAAAGATGAACTAAATGAATCAGTGAATAAAAAAATTAATTCTAAGAACAAGAGGAAGGGCAATGAAGACTATAAAGAAAATTATGAAGATAAATTGGTCTAAAGAAATGAAAACTGTTAGGTGCCAGTGGTTCATGCCTGTAATTCTAGTTACCCAGAAGGCTGAAATCAAGAATATCACAGATCAAACATAGCCTGGACAGAAAAGTCTGAGAGACTTCAACAATGGTCAAATAAGCAGTAAAATGCTGAGCTAGATGCATGGCTCAAATAGTAGAGCACCAGCCAAGTATGCAAGCATTTTTTTTTAATGATGTCCTAATAAGCCATTTTCCTATTCTCTTGTTTCAGTAAATTCTTTTATGAATGTGTGACTCAAAAACATGTCAATCACAGTTCAAGGCCAGCTTAGGCTACATGAGAAAATCCTATTGCTTCCCCCCTCCCCCCTCCCCCCTGCAAAAAAATCAAAACAAATAAAAATCTACTACTGTGGAAATTTCTCACACCCTATTACCATTAAGTAATTACATTACATATCTAATTTCCTTTGCTGTTTCCAGATTTCTAGGTAACTTGATTGATTTCCTATGTAAGTTTCCTACAGCAAAAGGGGAAAGATTTAAAAAAATAAACCTGGCAAGGTAATTAGTAAACTATTTAAGAGCTCAAAGTGCATTAATAAACTATCATTCTGTCTAATAAACTCATCAGAGAGACCTGTGAATATAACTCTCTCACAAACCCAAACTTAGCATTGCCAAACTAACCAGTGCCCTCTGCTCTCTCCCTCTGTAAACATTCTTATAAAACAAATGGCAATTCCTTTTCAGTCGCTTAGGCTAGAGAATTTGGAATCATATATTATTTTTTTTTTTACATCTCACCTCTAATCTGCAAAATGTGTGGGCTGTATTATCAAGACATATCCAGATTTTGGCCTCTTCTCACTGCCTCCACTGCTGTGCCTTGGTGCAAACCAGTCATCTCCTATCCAGCTTTTTGATGAGTCTGTTTCTACTCGTGCTTCCTCATAGTCTATGATCAACATATAGTCTAAGAATTAAACAGTCATTTTTAAAAAGTTATATCATTTAGATATAACTATGAAATTCTCCCAGTGTTAACTAGTATAAGCTAATAATCAAACTAATAATTAGTAATAAGTTAGATACTACCCTCTTCTACCTAAAATCTTCCAATGGCTTTCTATCTCAAGCAAATAAAATCCAAAGTCCTTTAAACTACCTACACTATCTCCTACCATTACCTCACTTCTGTGACCCTCATATTATTCTTTACTGAACTCATTGAATATTCTTGCTTTTTCTCAAATATGTAAGCATGTTCCTGCCTAGAGGCCATTGACATTTTGTCTTTTTCTTTTCTTTTTGCCAGTCCTGGGGCTTGAACTCAGGGTCTGGGCAGTCCCTGAGCTTTTGCTTAAAGTAACACTAGAGCCACAGCACCACTTCTAGCTTTTTGTTTATGTGGTACTGAAGAATTGAACCCAGAGCTTCATGCATGCTAAGGCAAGCACTCTACCACTAAGCCACATTCCCAACACACTTTGTCCTTTTCATGAATGTTCTCCCCACAGCTTTAGATGGCTTACTCCTCCTATTTCATATCTTCCCCCAAATCTTTTTTTTTTTTTTTCTTTTATTAATTCTGTTGCAGGGACTCCTCTGAAACAGTCCAATGGGTCTCTATCTAATCTTTCCCCTACTCTTTCTCCCTTCTCCTTCTCCCAACCTTTGGCTAAAGAGAAGCCCTCCACCCAGATGATTAAGATGCTAATTGCTGAGGCTGGAAGTATGGCTCTAGTGGTTCAAGGTCTGCCTTCAAAGCTTAAGGCCTTGTTGAGTTCTAGGCTCCAGTACTACCAAAAATAAATAAATAGATTAATTAAGAAGAAAAAAAGTATTAATTGCTGAATGACCTTTCTTTAGGGCCCAGAAAACTTGGTAATCCTAGTAATTCCTTTTTTCCTTCAGTTCTACAGTAAATAGCTTTTGTTACAGCAACAACAAATTAAAAACATGATTTAACTTGCAGAAAAGTGAAGTGTTTGAAAATTCTGGAGCTGGCCCTAGGAGGTTGTGGTCACTCCTTATGTTTGTGGATGAAAAAAGACAGGAAAGGATAAGTGCCTAGGAAAGCCATCAACACAGACTTTGAACACAGACTTAGCTTTGAAGGTACTTTTTGTCCAATGTCTCGTGACCCTTTTCCTCCTCAGCCTTTTGTCCCTTGTGTCCCTTCCTCAAGCTCTGAGGCAAAAGTGGTTCCTCTATCATCTCAATATCAATCAAAATCATCACTATCATCTCAATATCAAGCTCCAAAATAAACTTAGATTCCTTCCTACAGACACTCATCTTTCTAATATTGGTACCTCATTGGCAGACATGGGCATTTGATTCTGATAATAGGTTTGAACTTGTTCCTTAACTAACCGGTAACTCTTCATTTTGCTTCCCACTTAGTTTCTTCATTTAATTTATATATATAGTTTACATATTTATTTACTATTTCTCCTTAGAATGTAAGCTCTATAACAGGGATATACTGTACTCAATACTGTATCTCAACGTCCTGTTATATATTGTAGGAACTCAAAAGGATTTCAATGCCTATAGAGACTATATAATGGGTATTGCTGTTTTGGTCCTTATTTCTGTGAGATGAAAAGTAACCTGAGTTTCTAACCCTAGGCATCCTACAAAATATAACCAGTATTCTAATTGTGCGTTTAAGCACTAGTTTTTAAAAGAAGATAGGATTATATATTTTTCATTGTTGTATACAATCAATACCTAGGATGTTTAGAAATACATCCGTTTTACAATGTTGAACCATTAAAATCTAATCTGGTGTTGGGAGTGATTGATTAAAATATATTGTAAGTATGTGCGGAAATGTAATAATGAAATTCTCACCCACATAGTGTTAAGCTACAAATAATAATAACAACCAGTCAGTCCATTGATGGACTTTCAAACTCGCGTTTTCTCAAAAGTACCTTTAAAAACAATTTTTAAATAAACCATTTCATTGTTTATACATAATAAATTTGGAGCTTTTTAAAAATAGGATTCTTAAAGCTTTCCAGAATTCATACTTAGGAACACTGGGAGTACTTTTCAGTTTCAGACACAACCGATTTGGCAATCTGGGTTACGATTCCTCGTTTGAGATTATATTTGAAGGAACAAACATCCTCATACAGAGGCAAACCAAGGTGCAAAGATTGCACGGGTATTCCTCCTAATCCATCGAGCTCAGTGTCCACAGGACGGGACAACAGCAGAGGTCGCAGCACTGAGCACAAGTTTCTAAGCATTCTTCCCGTCGGGCCTTACTTAGGCCGCTCCATGGGACCTCACCTCACTACGACTACAGGCTGGGCACCCGTCCTAGTTAGTCCTTCACAAACAGGTAAGTGGAAGAAGTCCCTGGACTACGGGAAGTAACCTTGGGTGGTTTCAAAAGCTCAGAGAAAATGGAGGGAGGAAAATTCCTACCAAAACGATAGGTCACAACCCAACCTACTACGCTTACCGGACCGAAGCTTTCAGTCAACCCTTTCCAACCGTTGGAAGCTACAAGCAAGATCGCGGTGACCTCTGGGGGTTGTAGTTTCTGTCGCAAACAGAATGCGCCGGCAACACTAAAACTACATTTCCCAGAAGCCAATGCAAAGCCAATGCCTTCTTAAATCTGGGGTTTGGCATAAAGACGCTGTCCCTTCTTTTTATGCTGGTCTTAAATATAAAGTAAGTTTCTTCTAAGGGTTCCATCCTACCCTTTACCTGCCGTACCTGTCTCATGTGCCAAAACCTCAGTGTACACACTTGTCACTTTTCTAAACCCGGCCAACGACTCCAAAACGCACAAACGAAGTCTTTGGAGGCGCATGCGCTCTGCCAGCAGCTGCACATGCGCAACAGCTGGCGGGGGGGGGGGGGGGGGGGGGGGCGACCGTGCGCGCGGACTTGAGGTCTGGAGGTATCCAGTCGGAGGGCGGGGCGTTTTCCAATAGCTTTGCCTCGACATGGAAGCAGACGCGGGGCCTGGGGCGGCTCCGGGTTTGTGTCGGGCGGAGAAAGGGGAGGGGCTGGGGGGTGAGGACCCCATCTCCCCTCCCTGCTCCCGCCCTCTGGGCCGATCCCCACCGATGGGGCTGGCCGAAGGGGCGGGCTCTGCGCCTCAGGCCCCGCGGCTCAGACAGCTTCGCGGCCCAGCCGGGCGCTCGAGGACTGCCGGGCCAGCCTGTGCCCTCTGCTTTGGCTGCGGTGGGACAGTGCACAGGGGTGGAAGAAGCGGCGTCTTTCTCCGGGTCAGGAGTCCGCAGTGCTGAGGAGTCTCTCCTTCGTCGCCGCCCGCCGAAGACAGTGACTGGAGCGCCCGTGCGTCGGGCCGCAGCGGCCGGAGGCCAGCATTGGGCGAATCCTAGGCGGGTAACGGAGGCTCTGGGAGGAGCCAAGGGGGGCGGAGTCTAGTACGGGAGGAGGGGTGGGAACGCTAGGGAGGACTCGGTGGCTGCACAGACAAAAAAAAAAAAGAAACCCGAATGGCTGGAGAGCGTTCAACTGTTACCAGGCTTTTTGGGCAGAGCTCAGATTTGACAGCTCCACAACGTGAGGATATCCGCTGACCCCGCGAGACGGAAAACACTTCCCTGTGCCTCCCCGTCCAGCAAAGCCGGCGCTGGAAGATTTCAACTTTCCAACTCTGTTTTTTGTTTTTGGTTTTTCCAATCTCTGTGTTCGCGTCGGAGAGGGCGATCAGTTCGCTAGACTGATTGAAAGCATCCATTTAAAAGACTCTTCTGGTTACAGATGCCACTCGCACGTGTGTTTTCATGACGACTCGATCTCTCTGACTTTATTCTTGTATTTCTCGTGGTAAAAATTGCAAAGTGCTTTTGCGGGCATGCTGAAAGGTAACTGAAGGCTATCAAGGAAAAACTCCCGATTGTCATGGCTGAAGGAGAAAATGAAGTGAGATGGGATGGATTGTGCACTCGAGATTCAACTACTAGAGAAGCAGCACTGGAAAACATTAGACAAATCGTTTTGAGGAAAACCGAGTATCTTCGTTCGCTGAAAGAAGCAACTTACCGTTCATCAGACGGGCTTTCAAATGCTGTTTCTTTGGATGGGTTGAATAAGCTTCTTGCTCATCTGCTTATGCTTTCTAAGAGGTGTCCCTTTAAAGATGTAAGAGAGAAAAGCGAGTTTATTCTGAAGAATGTCCAGGTAAGGACGAGTATTTTAACTACAGTGAAATTTTACTTGCAATTATTTACATGATTTTTGCTTACATGGTTCTAATAAATTCACTTAAAGTGAATTCTTACTATGAATTCACCCTACATTGGGGCGTCTATAAAACATAGATTTAATTTTTATTTTTTGGCCCCGATGGAACAAGGTAAACTAAAACCTATTTTCAAATATAAATACATAATAATTGATTTTTCTAAAGTTTTAGGCAAAAAACTGCATTGCTAGGAGAAAAGTCTTTAGAAGTTATAGTTAATTGTAAGTCAGATCTTTTATGTTTCTTTTACATGTTACTAAGAGTAGCTAATGTGCTTTTCACATGGTTACAGTGTTCTGCAGAAAGTTTTCCATTTAAAGCCTCTAAAATGCTAAATGACTTTGTTTCCTAGTCAGTAAGTTATTGGCCAAACAGCTTTCTCTTGCCTTTTAAAACAAACAAAAGCCAGGATTTGTCCTACAAATGTAACCTTTTCCCACCTAAGAACTTATAATAAAAGCTTAAGTTATAAGCAAACTAAGTATCTTCAGGTTGAAAATAGGTCTACATAAGGTAGTCGAATGCTTTGATTTTAAATTCCTCCACCAGCTTTTTCTGTGTCTGCCTAAATTATTTCTTTTCTTTCTTTTTTTATATTCATACCCATTTAAATTTCAGGTGCAGTAAATTAAAAATATTACAGTTCTCCCATTTGGTCTATAAGCAGTTTATTCTGTTTTATTAGGCTATTTTAGAGGACTGTTCATAGATATGAAAATGTTCAGTGACCCTTTATGCTTGCCAATCTATGTCAATCGAAATATTATGTATGAAAACAATTTGAAACTTACCACGTAATATATATATATATATATATATATATCTGTATACAACATTTATTTATATATAAACATATATATGGGTAAATATACATGCTAAGATTGACTGTATTTTTTTATCAGTTGTGGGGATTGAACTCAGGGACTGAGTGCTGACCCTGAGCTTTTTTTTTTTTTGCTCTACCATTGTGAGCCACAGGGCCACTGCCAGTTTTTGAGTGGTTAATTAGAGATAAGAGTCTCACAGGGACTTTTCTGCCCAGGCTGGCTTCCAAATGCAATCCTTAGATCTCAGCCTCTGGAGTAGCTAGGATTATAGGCATGGGCCACCGGCACCCGGCCTGACTTTTTCTATACCGGCCAAAGTATAAAGCAATAGAAACAACTATATACCTAAAACAAAGACTCCTAAGATCTTAGGATTTTTCTTTTAACAAACACTTTGGAAATAATGATTATAATTCATTTTATGAGCAAATTAATACTTTTCTAGAGTTTGAAGATTTACCTTTTTAAGCATAATAGGTTCTTTCTTTATCAGGCCATAATCAGTATACCAACATTTTCCTTTTATAATGGGTTCATCATGCATATCAAGTACTGTTGTGAAGTGTGTAGGACCATATGGTTCATGGCATTTGAATTTGTGTCTAAGTTTTAGGGGTTGTGTGTGTGTGTGTGTGTGTGTGTGTGTGTGTGTGTGTGTGTGTGTGTGTGTCCTTTCTCTTGCTATTTTACTTCCCTTTGGCTTTTTCTTGACCTTTCCTTTATTCTGCTTATTTATATAAGAGTAAGAAGCTAGATAACCAATGTTGTTAAAAGTTACATTGAAAATAAAAGTAAGCAGACTATTGAGTCAGTATGTCAATTGATTGCAATATGAATGGTATGTAAATGGGCAGACTGGGTATTCTCCTTTATTACTAAACTGTCATAATTTTGAGCAAGACACTTGACTTTTCTTAGCTTTGATTTTTCACATCTTTAAAATGGGCAGAAGCTGTTGTGAAAATTAATTGAGATATAAAGTACCCCAGCATGTAGTGGATGATTCATTCTCCTTCTCAAGGGAAAGAAGGGACTATGTGAAATATTTGCCAACGTTTATTCACCTGGCAAAAAGATTCAAGCATTTCCTTATCCATAGTCTAATACTTTTTCATTTCCACACTTATTGTACTTTATTTCTGCTGCTGTTCTAAGAGGTACATTGCTTATATTGTTCTGCCATCACGTTTATGTGTCTCTCTCCCCTTGTGGGCTATAAATTCTCAAAAGTATTGCTTGGAACCTGGAAGCCACTAATCAATATTCAGTTAATTTGTGTTTTCCTTCTTTGTGTTTCTCATCAGTAGATAAAATTTCCGTTTTAAGGCGTTTCTATCTATACATCATCCATTTGTCTGTGCATTCGTGCAACAAATGTTTAGTGGACTCCTGGTGAATGTCTTACTAAGGATTGAGTATGAGCCGTAGCAATTTTGACTTTCTTCTGAAGAGAGACCATAAAGACGTACAAATAAAATGTTTACTTTTAAATAAGGCAAACTTTCCAGGGCTAATCATATTTAAGCAAAGCCTTGATGGCTACTTTTTTGGGGGGCGGGGGGTACCAAGTATTGCATATAGACCAAGCTGGTCTTGTACTTGAGATTCTCTTGCCTCAGCCTTCAAGTGCTGGCGTTACAGATGTGAACCACCGCACCAAGTTTAATGAATAAATTTTACCTTCACATTGAGATGTTTATATGAATCTAGATGTAGAGAATAATTGGTGTGAAACCTCATGGCAAAAGAAAACAATTGAGTTCTGAAAGTGACAGTTTGAAGATAATGTGAAACTTTAAGTTAGATCCATCTTTCTCAGTATTAAATTAGCTGTATGACTTTGGATAAGTTTCTCAATATCACCTTGACTCAGTTTTTCCATCTGAAAATGAGGGTGATGCTAATACTTCTAGCTTCACAATGTTGTTATGGGAAAGAAAGCTTGCAACGCAAAACAATGCCTAGCACATAAAAAATGATGAGCAGTGTAGGTGTTTTTACTGTTATTATTCAAGATGGCTTGTAGGCCATGCTTGGGATGGTGGATTTTATCCTAGGAATAATGAGTCCTTTGAACAAGATGTTGTCAGGATGGATAGGATTTAATAAGGATCATTCTGGAAGCAAGGTAAAAGTGCATTTCCAGGGTAAATTGTGGACATGCCATACACATCAGGAAATTTTTCCACTGGTCCATGCCAAAATGATGGGGGACTAGGATGTGATGGGGAAAATGGAAATAATGTTAGAAACTACAGGATATAGCTCTGTGTATATGTATGTGTGTGTGTGCTGGTCCTGAGGCCTGGGTATTATCTCGCAACTTTTTTGCTCAAAGCTAGCACTCTACCATGTAAGCAAAGCTCCATTTCCAGCTTTTTTTTCTTTTTTAATTTTTTTATTAATTTTTTATTGTGAAAATACCATAAAGAGGGGTTACAATTACATCAGCAAGGTAATGAGTACATTTCTTCTCAAGCATTGTTGCCTCCTCCTTTGTTTTTCCCTTACCATCCCTGTCCTCCCATCTCCACCACTACACCTTCCCTCCACACACACACACACCATCAAAGTTGTAAAGTTGGTTTTTCGACATAGCATCTTGTACATTTCATTGTTGCAATGGGACCACCTGTATCCCTATTTAAACAATTTGTTTTTTTCCCTTCCCCTCCCCAAATTATACCAACATCAAATACAGTGAAAACAGGGGCTATATAGTGGGGGAGGGACATACAATGCAACCAAAAAAATCACCTTATAATATGATAGAAACAGTAGCAAGAAAGAAAAACCACTTGAGTCCTTATCTTGGAGTTCATTTCGCCTAACATCAACTTATCTGACCTTTTCTGCTTGTCTCAGACATATACTAGTTATTATAAATAAGGGAAACCATGGGACCTATGTTTCTTTGGGCTTACTTCACTTAATATAATTTTTTGTTGGTTGTGGGGCCTGAACTCTGGGCACTGTCCCTCAGCTCTTCAGCTCAAGGCTAGTGTTCTACCACTTGAGCCACAGCACCACTTCCAGCTTTTTTCCCCTGCTCAGGTGGTGTTGAGGAATCGAACCCAGGGCCTCATGCATGCAAGACAAGCACTCTATCACTGACCCACCTTCCCAGCCTCCCCACCTTTTGCGGGGAGTGGTTAATTGGAGATAGAAGTCTCAAGAACTTTCTTGCCTTACCTTCAAACTCCAATCCTCGGGTCTCAGCCTCCTGAGTAGCCAGGATTATAGGCATGAGCCACCAGCACCTGGTGAGAATGTAGCATTTTACTTCGATTTAGGAGATGAGTAAAATAAGAGCAAGAATTGCTCTGAAGTTTCTGACTTGAACTACTTGATAAATAATACAGTCATTTCCTGTGATAGAAAAGTGGGAGAGACAAAAGAGTTCTGTTTTATACATGTTGACGTTTAAGTTGCCTACGAGATATGAGTAGAAATAGTTTCTCAAAAGATTGTCTGTGCTGTTTGTTGCGTTCTGTTATGTTTCATTTCTCCAGCCTTAACCCATCCTCCCTCCTCTGTCCATCATTCACATAGCTACAGAGCCATTTATGAAAAATGAAAATGTTACTTTACTGTGTAAAACCCTTTATAATACAATAGATCTAAAGAATGTACATCATTTTCATCACCTGACTTCCACTTACCTCCCCAGTCTCACTGCCCACTCTGCTTCCCACCACTCTGGCCTCTCTGCTCATATTCTCACATCAGCCTCACATGAGAATGCTCCACAATGCTTCCTGTTATTCATTAGTAAAGCAGAAAAAGCTGAACTGTATGCAGTTCCTGCAGTTATTCCTGTAGGCCCTTAACTGCTTGTGCTGGGTAGATTAGAGGACTATAATCAGGTAAGAGAGAATGATAGAGTCATGGTAGGATGATTCAACTCCAAATGGCTAAACTTGTAAAATATTGGCACATAGGGAAACAGCATTTTCTGTTTATACATTTGTTCTCTATTTACTGATTATATATTAGCAATATACCTACATATATTCAACATATTTTTGAGAACTATTCTGAATCAACTATTGTTCTGGGAACTAGATGATCAATAAAAAATTTTCCCCTTTTGTGTAAGGTCCTCTATT